AAAAATGTAGAGGGGTTGAAAGTGGTTTAATTCCTTCCTTAAAGGTGAGAACTCTTATTTGAGTTTGTTGTTATTGCTCAGAGCCTCTGTTGAGTTCCCTTCTGAGGAGGATGCCAGAATTAGAGAGTCTGGAGATCATGAAGTTGGTGAATTGCCCAGAGACCTTCACACCAGACATGAGGTGCATCATGGGCGAGTCTCCTGCAGTGCAGGGCTACTTTGTCCTGGCAGGAATGAACTCTGCTGGCCTTTCATTTGGTGGAGGAGCTGGAAAGTAAGTCTTTTTCACTCAAAGTCAGCCGTGAACATAAGTCAGGTTGTGAGTTTCTTCCCTTCTAGAATTACTTGTTGTTAATATGGTATGTGTTATGTTTAATTAATCTAGTATGTTAAGACTAATGAGAAGATGCGTGTAATTTGAGAGTTGTATCCTTCTAAGTATTGGAGGCTCCCCATGTTCCAGAAATGCTATCAAGCAAAATGTTTTCACAGCTTGTCTTTTGGAGTTAGCCACAGATCCTGTGGGGTATTCTTTCGTACTTTTTCAGTTGTAACAAATTGGTCATTTGAATGTATATTTGAGTTTGGCCAGTATGTTGATTGAGGTAGGTGACTGAACTAGATAATTCAATTTTTGTTTTTGTTTTGTTTTGTTTTTGATGGAGTCTCACTCTTTCGCCTAGGCTGGAGTGCAGTGGCATGATCTTGGCTCACTGCAACCTCCACCTCGTGGGTTCAGGTGATTCTCCTGCCTCAGCCTCCCAAGTAGCTGGGATTACAGGCATGAGCCACCATACCCAGCTAATTGTTGTATTTTTAGTAGACACGGGGTTTCACCATGTTGGCAAGACTGGTCTCGAACTCTTGACCTCAAGTGATGCACCCGCCTAGGCCTCATAAAGTACTAGGATTACAGGCTTGAGCCACTGCACCCAGCCACAAGTTTTCATTTAAAGATTAGACATTAATGAACATTAAGCCAGTCACAAAAGGACAAATACTATATGGTTCCACTTATATGAAATTCCTAGAGTTGTCGGAGCATAGAGACAGAAAGTAAAATGGTGGTTGCCAGAGGCAGGGTAGGGGAGCTGTTCTTTAATGAGCACAGAGTTCCAAAAATGCAAGAGTTCTGGGGTGGATGGTGGTGAGGGTTACACAGCAGTGTGAATGTACCCACTGCCACTGAACTCAACACTTACAAATAGTTAACATAGTTAAGATGGTAGCCATGATGAAAAGTGTATTTTAAATTTATGAGACCAGTTCTCTTGAGTGATTTGTAGAATGGCTCTGAAAACAGTTGCAGAAGAGGAATTACCAAAAACATGGAGCAAAGGAGATCTGGTCTCATAACTGTATAATCTCCTTGAGGTGACTTTTTTTTTTTTTTTGAGACAGAGTTTCTCTCTGTCACCCAGGCTAGAGTGCAGTAGCACAATTTCGGCTCACTGCAACCTCCGCCCCCTGGGTTCAAGTGATTCCCCTGCCGCAGCCTCCTGAGTAGCTGGGACTATAGGCACATGTCACCACGCCCTGCTAATTTTTGTATTTTTAATAGAGATGGAGTTTCACCATATTGGACAGGCTGGTCTTTGAACTCCTGACCTCATGATCTGCCTACCTCAGCCTCCCAAAGTGCTGGGATTACAGATCTGAGCCACTGCACCTGGCCGAGGTTACTATTATACAGAGGAAAAAACCATTGGATTTTTAAATTACTGTATATTTGTATGTGTTTTAGTCTTATTTCTTTATAGATGTGGTTTATAACTTTTTTGGATACAAGGTCTTCTCCTCCTTTTTTTTTTTGATACAAGGTCTTACTGTCACCCAGGCTGGAGTACAGTGGCACCATTATAGCTCACTGCAGTCTCAAACTCCTGTGCTCAAGGGGTCAGCCTGCATCAGACTCCTGAAGAGCTAGAACTGCAAGTCATGTGCTACCACATGCGGCTCATTTTTTTTTGAGACGCAGTTTCACTCTTGTTACCCAGGCTGGAGTGCAATGGCGCGATCTCCGCTCACCGCAACCTCCGCCTCCTGGGTTCAGGCAATTCTCCTGCCTCAACCTCCTGAGTAGCTGGGATTACAGGCACGCACCACCATGCCCAGCTAATGTTTTGTATTTTTAGTAGAGACGGGGTTTCACCATGTTGACCAGGATGGTCTCGATCTCTTGACCTCGTGATCCACCCGCCTCGGCCTCCTGAAGTGCTGGGATTACAGGCTTGAGCCACTGCGCGTGGCGCGGCTCATTTTGAAACTTTTTTTTTCCCCCTCCAGTAGAAACAGGGTCTCACTATGTTGCCCAGGCTGGTCTCAAACCCCTGGCTTCAAGCAGTCCCCTGCCTCAGCCTCCCAAAGTTCTGGGATTATAGGTATCAGACAATGTGCCTGGCTGGCTTATATCTTAAATACTTTCTAGGGAACCTTGTCATCAGGCGTAAAATCCTCATTTTGAGAGCAGTACACAGGCCCATGTTTGTTTCTTCCAAAAAGGTTAAGGAAATTGCCCAAAACTCTTCAGCTAGTCTGTGGCAATATAGGAACTTTTGATTCTGTTGGTTCTCAATTTCTAGAATATTACTTTTATCTTCTCAAATATCACACCTGAGCCCCAACAAATGCCCTCTGTCTGTATAGGTACCTCGCTGAATGGATGGTACATGGTTATCCTTCAGAAAACGTTTGGGAATTGGACCTGAAACGTTTTGGAGCCCTCCAGAGCAGCCGCACCTTTCTGCGCCACCGGGTCATGGAAGTCATGCGTAAGTGAAGCTTTATCGCAATTGCTTCTAGTTGCAGGTATCTTCCTGGTGGCCCATGTTGTCATTCAGAGGGGGCAGAGTTTTCCTCAATTCCTTAACAACTGCTTTGATGTGGGCATCTGATTTCACTGGTTTGACCCTGAGTAAGGGGCTTTATGCTCCACGTGATACTTACGTAATATTTTCTTTAGTGTATTGGACCTTGTTTCTTTCTGGGAACAAGAAAATAGAACAGGATTTACAGATGGTACATAGCAGCTTCCTAAATATTATTAGCAATGTCTCCTTCCCAATTTGACTTGAGAGACCCTGTGTCGAAGTGAACACATTCTCACTCCCCTATTAGTTTTTGAGATAGTTATTTTCTTTCCAAGTCAGAGAATTTGCCAAGTTATTCTCAGAGCTTCACACTTCTGTGAGCAACTTTCATCGTTAATCACCCTACAGCAGCAAGACTGGAAACTACTTATAAATACAAAAAATACATTGCTAGGTCAAGTGCAGTGGCTCATGCCTGTAATCCCAGCACTTTGGGAGGCTGAGGTGGGTGGATCACGAGGTCAGGAGTTCAAAACCAGCCTGGCCAAGATGTCGAAACCCTATCTCTACTCAAAATATAAAAATTAGCCAGGCGTGGTGACGGGGGCCTGTAATCCCAGCTACTCGGGAGGCTGAGGCAGAGAATTGCTTCAATCTTAGAGGCAGAGGTTGCAGTGAGCCAAGATGCAGCCACTGCCCTCCAGTCTGGGCGACAGAGCAAGACTCCATCTCAAAAAAAAAAAAAGCTGTATCCCCTTATTGTCGCCCTGCTGCAACTTTGAAGGATGGCCACTTAGTCTTAATTTATTATTCTATCTTGATCTCTGATTTATTTTCTAGGAAGCCCTTAGAGACAGCTTTTTTGTATCAGGAATTGAAACAAACCATGTGGATTCAAGTTGTAATTTCATTTTCCTATACTGAGGAGCTGTTCTCAGACTTTGCCAAATGATATCTCAATATTTTGAGCACACTTATGCTCAGGACTAAGTTTCTGAGTTGGTTGTGACCACCATTCTTGGTTACAAGTAACTGTTGGTTTAGTAGTTGGACAGCATTGATGGTGAGGACTCTGATGGTCTTTAATGCCTGAGTGCTCACTTTGGGTCTGGTAGAGAGCATCCATCCATGGAGGTAAAGGACCTAACAGTAATATGTTTAACTCTAAGGTTAATTTTAGCAAATATTTTAGTAATTGCAGCAAATATTTGGTAGAATGTTACTTTTATCTTCTCGAATATCTCACCTGTCTGTTGTAGCTTTGATGTATGATCTGAAGGTTCCCCGCTGGGACTTCCAGACCGGTAGGCAGTTACGTACTTCTCCTCTCTATGACCGGCTGGATGCGCAGGGAGCCAGGTGGATGGAGAAACATGGATTTGAGAGGCCGAAGTACTTTGTTCCCCCTGACAAGGGTAAGAAGTCACATCCTCATTTTTGCTCCTTTTTTTTTTTTTGGTCCTGGAAATTAATAAAACGTATTTTCAGATGCATAAGCTAGAATGTGTTCACAGAAGAATAAATGAGAACCACCTGTTAGACTATACTAACTGCTACAGGGAGACTCCCCAGTGTAAGCCCCCTTGTTTTCTCTCCACCTTGTGATTTTTCCACTCTGTAGACCTCCTGGCATTGGAGCAGAGCAAGACTTTCTATAAGCCAGACTGGTTTGACATCGTGGAGTCTGAAGTCAAGTGCTGTAAGGAAGCTGTGTGTGTCATTGACATGTCCTCTTTCACAAAATTTGAGATAACAGTAAGTATTTAGAAACCAAAATAATGAATTAGGAAACTTTGCATATTTATTGAATGCCTTTTGTTTTTCATCTTCAAAACTGATTCCTCACTGGGCCCAGTGGCTCATGCCTGTTTTCCCAGCACTTTGGGAGGCCAAGGCAGGCAGATTGCCTGAGGTCAAGAGTTCGAGACCAGCCTGGCCAACGTGGTAAAACCCCATCTCTAACTAAAAATACAAAAATTAAGGCCAAGAGTGGTGGCTCACGCCTGTAATCCCAGCACTTTGGGAGGCCAAGACAGGCAAATCACCTGAGGTCAGGAGTTCGAGGCAAGCCTGGCCAACGTGATGAAACCCTATCTTTTTTTTTTTTTTTGAGACAGAGTTTCGCTCTTGTTACCCAGGCTGGTGTGCAATGGTGCGATCTCGGCCCACCGCAACCTCCGCCTCCTGGGTTCAGGCAATTCTGCCTCAGCCTCTTGAGTAGCTGGGATTACAGGCACGTGCCACCATGCCCAGCTAATTTTTTGTATTTTTAGTAGAGACGGGGTTTCACCATGTTGACCAG